TTGCAAAAAATGTTAAATTATAAATCGTTCCAGTGGTAATAATGTATAGCGGACGACAGTATTTATACAATTATTAATATATTAGTGAAATATGCCATGCAAATAAGCATTAAATAATAATAATTGAAGTTGGTTTCAACACTTTAAACATAGGTACTTATTACTATGTACATTGTACATACGTAGGGCTAAGTCATATACATTTAAGTAAAGCAAAATTAAAATATTTATACACCCACCAACCACTGAGGATTTTAACATATTATTTTCCTGTTAATCATTTAGTTATTTATTTAATTACTTAGTATAGGTATATTATGTAATATAAAAACAAAAACACATATACAACCTACTCCCGAAATTGTTAATTGTTACTAATAACTGTTTTACATATAATGTATGCTTTATAAAATATATATATGAAAATCATTTTGGTAATTTTTTTGATATCAAAAATCTCACGCTCTTTAATTAAATTGTTTTTATTTTTACATACCTACTTGAATATTATACAGTCGATTCTGTCATGGACTCACCATATACCAATATTTAAATTCATTAATTATAGGACGTGTCTGGGGTATCTATACCAAGAAAAAATAAGATTCTTAAAAACTCACAGTAGATATGTTTATTTAATTAGACAGATTGTAGACTTTCATATAGGTAGATGTGATAGGTTATTGTAAAACATTACTTACTATTTTTTTCTGAATCATTATTTAAAGGATAAGCTTTTTTTCTGTTAAATATCAATTAATTACATTTTGGACGCCCAAATTTCCCGATTTTAATGTTCTCAAAATTGTGCTTGCTAAAATTTGTCATTTTTCATTATTTAAACTTTTTTTTTATATTTATCATAATAATAAATTAAGAATAAGGTAAGATATGTATTCAAAGATAAATTAATTACAGGTACAGACGTACAGTACGTCATATACTCAAATGTATACACATACTGGGTGATTCTTTTATCAAAAAATACTCATTATTTCAAAATTTATTAGAATATTATTTTTAGGTAATTTCCAGTTAAAATAAAACATTATTTTTATTAAAAATATATGTTAATTAATATTTTTTATCGCTATAAGTTTTTAAGTTATTTACATTTTTGAATGATAACACATTTTTAATTTCATATTCTGAAGTAAATATTTTTCAGAGTATTTAAAGCTTTGATAAGTGGAGTAATAGCAACATGCTAACATGCTGCAAGGTATCATTGCATACCACTCTACTTGCTACCTAAACTTTGAATACTTTTAAGTTAACTCATTCACTACTTGTTTGAATTTAGATTATTCATGTATCGAAATACTCCGAAAAATATTAAACAATATGGTTTTTTTAATATTGTTTTATTTTGACTGGAAATTAAATAAAAAAATATTTTCAAAAACATTAATAGATTTTGAAATAGTGAATACTGTTTGATTAAAATAATTAACTTACATAATATACGTATACCTACATATTACATATTATACCTATAGTTAATTTATCTTTGTATACAGGTACAAAGTATATATATTATATATCCTAATTTTGACTTTTTATTTATTAGACAATCTTACATAGTTTAGGTAGACAATAATCCTAAAAACGTTCCATAATATATTATACCTATATGTGATTAAATTATAAGCCCTACAGTAATTTATGTATAAATATATAAATGTATATATTTCATAATTCATTGTAACATATTAATTCAAATTGCAGAATATAGTGTTCTATTTACAATAATATAAATTTATTTATAATACGAGTATTATATTCGCTGGCAATTAATATATTATAGATTGTGGTACATTTAACTTATAATTAATTACAATTTTTTTTAATCGTTGGGAAAGCATAATAAATGTATACATAAAATTAAATTAATTTGTTTTTTTTTTAATTTTACAAGACGAACTATAGAAAAAACACGTAACTAGATAGTGCCTTTTAATAATTGTGAATACATACGACATGCGGATTTTTCCACTATTGTTACATACTTATCATATGATACTAATGATCCTATAATGTCTTTAACACTTATATTATCTACTCGATTCTCGGCTTCTGATGTTGCATTTATTATATTAAATTCATAAATTCTACATAAATTGTTACAAATATGTCTAATAAATAATATTATTTAATGTAGGACATTAAATGAGTAAACTATAATTACAGTGTAAATCTATTATAACTATATTGACTATTATATCGGCACTGATAAAGTAACTAAACTATGACAGTCCTGAGTACTGTTCTACTCAGTGGCGCAATTATCGGGAGTGTTGTGTGTGCAATTCACAAGGGCCCCAGGTCTTGAGGGGCCCCCAGATTAAAAATCTCATATACCATATGCCTACTATATTCTTATATATATATATATATATATATATATATATATATAAAATAATAACTAATAATATTAAATACATTAATTATAATAAATTATATTAACTATTGTATACAAGAAAACGATATTTAAAAAAAATATATTAAAAGGTAACAAGGTATGACTGTTTTTCATTTTTATTATTAGGTAAGGGCCCCGGTCCAGAAATTTTCACATGGGCCCCTTATTATCAAGTTGCGCCACTGGTTCTACTATTTTTGAATTAAAATACCTTTATGATCATAAAAGCAATTACGTTTTACGTTTTAACGTCGAAACTAATTAAACAACTTGATTGTATCATATATAATAATATTATTATTATTTAGTGATCACATTGATATAATTTTTTCATATAGCTAATAATAATTGAGATAATCCAGTAAAGCTGATAAATCATATCGTCTTTTATTTAAGTCTTGGTTAGTCAGATTTTTTTAGTAAAGTTTTAAGTATTCAAAATGTCTGTTTATACGTTTTAAAAATTATAATTACTTTTCTTTAATCCTACAGTCTATAACGACGAATTTTATAGGTCTCTTAAAAGTTTTTATAATCAATTTCCACTACATTATACTTTATATGCGGTGCAGATTTTTAATTGCTAGAAGCGCGTATATAATTTCTAAAAGAAAGAAGGTAAGAGTATACACTTTCAAGTCATATTATTACATAAATACATAAATTAAGTACTGGTAATTTAAAAGTGATAAACTATATAATTTATACTACGTTAGAATATTTTAAGTACAATTAAAGATTATAATAAATATTTTAAACTTCATTTTAATAACTTTTAATTTAGCTGACTAATAAACAAGAAACACAATATCTAAGGGGGTACTTCAGTCACTTAACCCCCTTTTCTGTCCTCTACTATTCTCGTTTCTATATAAATAAGCTTAAAATTTTGTGCTGTACTTCTATGTTGGCTTATAAAAATGTACAACAGATAGTAGAAAGTTGACATAAATATCATTGTAAATCTATATTTTACAGGCTAACTCCTTCAAAATATCAAAGCACGACTATCGACCAATTAAGAATGGTGGTAATATTAATTATTTTGATAAATTCAAAGACCTCGAGGAGGCCATGAAAACAATCTAGTTATTTTTTTCTCGTTAAAACGCGGAAGATTGTTTTCGTCAATTCGTCATTGCAGTCGTCGATTCGCGGCGCAGGCACGAACTGTATAATATTATTATAAATAATAGCTGACGCCGCTTTCTTGAAGAATGTCCCTGAACGTTATTTTGTCGTTGAAGATCGTTTTTTTATTTTTTTTTCAAATTTGTTTTCTGGAAATAAAATAATTAACCGATTCGCCAAACCTTGAAATTTCACAAATTATGTATTTACTTGACTGTATAGTTAGATAAATGTGTAATTTATTAAATACATTTTTTTGTTTTACTTAAAACAATGAATTATCAAAAAAGATTATTTTTATTGTTTCATAAATAGAGGATTTACACAAATTTATTCACAATTTGTTTTTCCTTTAAACGTTACTCAAATTACTTTCCGATTTTTAAACTATCACTTAAATGTCCTCTCATAGCAGATATTTAACGGTTTAATACACGAAATGTCTCCAATAAATTTAATAAATCGATAGTTTGAATATTATTTAATTTTAAATATTTAATTTATACAAAAATATTATCAACCAAACTTTTTAACTACTTTAAACATTAACTCTACCTCTTCTTTAAGAAAATCATCAATCAAATAATTATTAAGCATCGATATTTTTAAATATAATTTAAAAAGTAAATGTTTCAAAAGTATGAGAAATTAATTAATTTTAATAAATTAAATTAAAAAGTATAATTTAGTCTTAGTTTATAAATTATGGATATGAACCTAATAATATTAACTAAAGATTTTTAATTTAGGTTGTCAAGAAAATTTACCTGATAATGGAAAATCGTAATTCGGAAACAGTTATATAATTTTTGTCAAATTATTCAAAATATTAGTGATTTGTATTTAAAATGACAGCTTAGATTTAGTAGTAGGTATATAAAATAAATTTATCATTGAATATAAACTTATCATAGACTAGAATAATTAAGTTCTTCGATTTTTTTTTTCCGGTGGAGGGCTATTTCGCCTCCATGGTTGACTATGATTGACTACTAATCCCAAATACTTCAGTTTACAAGTAAATGTTGTAAATGCGGATATACATCTTATCAATATACAGCAGACATTCGATTCAAAATATTGTTATAAATATACCAAATGAGTTCGATAATTAGTGAAAAACTAACAATAACCATCTGTTCTTAAACATTCTATTATTCATTCGAAATTTATTTACTTAACAATTTTTAAAATTTATTTTTAGAAGCTAATGAAAATTATAGATAACTAATTATAAACTATGAGTAAAAAATAAAACATTTTTATATATGAAAAATTAAAATTAAAATAAAAAAATTTTTAAGCTATGTATAAGTATATCCGTTAACTTATTATACCTACTTATTTACTTATCTTTACCTAAATGATATGTCATATAAATATATATAAAATGATTGATTACATCAATAACGGATATTAATAATTTTATGTTTTTTAAATTCAACAGGAATCCAAAATGGGGTTCGGTTCTAAAGATGAATGGTGTGGATCCATCGTCAAGTACAGCATGTTTTTGTCAAATTTTGTCATATTCGTAAGTTATACAATATTCATTTTGGTTACAAATTAGAATGATCATTTAAACAAAAACCTAAATTTCTTATTTTCCAACATTTATTAATATTAAAGGTATACTTTACAATAAAATATGCATGTCAAAAATTAAAGATAACATATTTTATATTTTTTTGATAAAAATTCGAAAATTCAAAAAAAAAAAGACAATGTTTTTAATAATTACACACTAAAAAAATATTTTAATTGTTCCAATTTCTAATCACTATTTTATTATGTAATTTAAATAGTAATTTAACGAGAATAAGTTGAAGTTTTAAGTTTAAGACCCACGAAATTTGATAGTACCTACTGTATTACCGTGTAAACATATAATATACACTATAGATATCTACTCATCTTTTAAGCAGAATTATTATTTAACCTTTGTAAAGTAGTTAATTCTATTTAACAAATAGAAATATTTTCACATTATAGTTTAAAAAATAAACATAAATTTGATTGTTTTTATATGTTAACTAAACTAACTGTGTTTAAAAAAAAAAAATTATTTAATTAAATTGCTTTGAAAATTTGAGTTATACTAAAATTGTTAGAAAATATTTAATTATATTCAAATCTGAAGTTAAATATTACCATAAAAACAATAATAATAATTTTTATACTTATCAAATGAATTTTTAACGTATTTTTATCTAAATATCTAATACAATACGTTTCCAATTTCATTCAATTAGAAAATTCATATAATAATAATATACACTTTAATAATTTGTATATACACCATGCTATGTATTGTTACCTTAGACTTTGGACATAGTGAGTATTCAACTATTTAATGTGCATAACTATAGTCAATATTATACATTCAAATTAAAATTAAATTTGTTTGCAGATTGGAGGAATTGTATTGGTGGCCATATCAGTGTATACACTATACGATAAGTCGTTCATCAAAGAGCTTTTGGGCACCAACTTGTTCACAGGAGCAGTGTACATATTAATCGTAGCGGGTATTCTATTGTCACTTCTGTCATTCTTGGGATGTGCCGGCGCTGTAAAAGAAGTCAAGTGCATGCTACTAACGGTATTTAAAGCATTCACATATAATTAAGACGCACACAACTTTTTATTTTCAAATTTATGTGATAATAAGCTATCATAAAGTTTTATTAATTGTATTAGGTGGTTAGTTATAAACGAATATCATCAACCCGTAACCCCATTACTTCTAAAATCACAAATAAGTTTAAAAAAATTAAAAACCATAATTTAAATAATAAATTCTCGTTTGATTAGTTCATTAGTGAATTTTTAGTATATCACATATTTATACATATTACATATACAATTTACATAAATATTTAATACAAGATCTTGTTTCCTACTTAATTTTTAAGAATGTTTAATTTACTGATTACGGTGTATTTAAAGATTGTAATTTATAAATACTTATTAGTAAGTGACAATTTTTGGACGGAATTTAAAGTGTCTGAAAGTTATATAATTTATTAGTTTAACGAATTTATGAATTTTGACCTTCAAAAATAAAAAAAACAACATACCTATTTATGTTAAGATGCATAAAAATTAAAATTAAAATAACCAAAAATATGAGTTACGATCTATTGAGTCTTTAATAAGTCATTAGTACCCAATAATTATTAATGATACATTCATTTTAAAATTATAATCTTAATAATATTTTGTTTTAATTTTTTTTAATAATTTACAATTTATATTTAATGTTAGCATAGGCGTTTAAATAATATACATTTTTGTAGTAAACAAATAATGTTATAGTGTTATATAGTGCACTAACTTTAAACTATATTTCATTTACTCTACAGTATGACTATTAAAAATGTTAAGTATACCAAAGAATAAATAAAACCATTATAAACACTCAAATATCAGAAAACCTAGAAAATAGAACTATAAACAAAAAGTATAGTCATCATGTTTTTGAAGTTTAATTTGTTTCAGTAATTTATCAGTTTAAAATAAGAAAATATTGAGTTTTAGCTACATAGCGATTGTATACATTATAAGTTTATAGATAGCGATAAAAAGTTTCAAGTCACGATCAATAATATTTTTTAAATTACTTACAAAATGACAAAATTGTAATTTTTTGCTTAAATATCCTATATTATTAAAATTTTACCTTGGAATAATCATAAAAAAATTATTAATTTTCTTTTTATTAGATTTCTGTAATAATAAGTATGAAAAACCTAGAAATACATTTTCATGCCTAAGTAATTTAAATTTAAAATTTAATAGTTTTTTAACTATTAAATAATTTACAAAAGTATGTGATTTATAAATTTTGACTTTCAGCTTTATAAACTTATATTATAAATAAAAAATTGTGCTTATTTATTTTCGATGTTTTTAATTTCTATAAAAAGAACTTTTGAATAATTTTGATTTAAATCTTCACACCTTTTGATCAAGATAAAATATAATATATTAAAAACCTATTTAAAACAAAATTAAAACAACTCTAAAATTGCATAATAACTCAAAATTATATTTTAAAAACTTCATTGTATAAATACAATGAAATTATATTTTAAAAATTTCATTGTATAAATACAATGATAAATTAAATAAAAGTAGAATGTTCCCAATTAAAAATGAGTTGTTATAATGCACATTGTCATCAAAGTTTTAACTTAAATCACTCATATAAAATTAATGTTAAATAGCTATTTAATTTCCAGAAAAATAAATAATACAGGAATTTTGTATTATTTTAGAAAAAAATTAAACTTAAGGTATAAAAACAAACAATGTTATGAATATTTATATACAAAACAATTTATATATTTTTGTTACTTTGAGGTAGGTACGTATTTTGTAAAAATTCGAACTTATAAACTTTTCGAGAACTTAGTATAAATTGTTGGAAATAGAAACATTATCAGTAAGTTAAGCTTCCCACTGTTTAAAAATACTCCTATGTTCCCCTGGTATGTGAACATCGTTAAACTAAATGTCAGCACAAATAAATAAAAGTTATATATTATATTATTTTCAACTGTCAACATATTTGTAATTATTAATCGATTTTATTGTATTTTCCTATAGTATTTCATAATTCTGTTCATTATATTCATTGTGATGCTCGTTGGAGGAATATTATGTTACATGTTCCGGCAAAGAGTGCAGACGACTATGCAACAAGAGATGCTCAGGACCATAAGGTTTTACGGCGATGACCGGGCCATAACTAGAGCATGGGACGACCTCCAGGAAGGAGTAAGTCGAGACTGGAAAAACATTGGCAACGTTTTCATGAAAACCGTTTTTGTAAATATATCCTTTTCTCGTTTTAGCTCCACTGTTGTGGCGTTACGGGCTACGATGACTGGAGACAACACAGGATCGGCGGAATCATTCCAAGCAGCTGTTGTCAAGAGATCAACGGAAAGGTAATCCTTAGATGTTATACAGTTTATAACACTGTGTACCGTGTAAATTTGTATAAAATTAACCTTTCAATTATTTAAAAAAAAAAGTAATGTAAAAATGTTGGAGATAATGGACAGTAGTGAGTTGAAGGTTTGCAGAGCTTTCAAAATTATAGATAAATTTTAAAGTGTTTTCAATTTACTTTGAACGTGTATATAAAACGTAACCATCTATTAAAATAATTGTCATTCGTATTTAAGATTGCTACCTACTTAAGTTCAAAATTTTTTTTACCTAAGTAATAATACTTTTAAATTCAAAAAATAATATAATATTGCTGCATTCAACGTGTGATTTGCATTGTGCTTGAAGAAATATTTATTTTTTCTATTTTTTATGCCCTATGATGCATACCTAAGTGTAATGTATAATCATTAGTCTATTACTAATGACTTATTCAACTTTATATGAAATACACTTGTAAAATAATATACCTACCTATGTATCATGATATCGTATAAGTTAGGTTTGGTTGTTTATAATTTAGGTATATAAAAGTTGTATTAACAACTTTTATTATATTTACTAGAAAAAGTTTAAATATTAATTATCTCAGTGTTGCTTTTCATTCGTGATAATACCATTACGAACTTATCAGTCATTAGACTTCTTACTGATTTCATAATAATTACCTATTATTTTATTCAATTATTACTGTCGGTCAATAAACGGAGGTTTATTTAAAAATTAAGTTTGCTTTTCGAGCGGTTTAGGGACATGCACCCATTGGGTCTTAGCCTTCAGTTGTCATAATTATACATCACTAATAACATAATCATCATCAATTTTTATTAGAAACAACCATGCAATCTGAGTTTCCAAGCGAGTCTACAGATATACAATACTGGCTGCCTAAATGTGACCACTGCATTTATGAAAGACCATGCAACTACTGTTGGAACCGTTGGTATAGCTGTGTCACTATTTCTAGTACGTATTAAATATTTTAAAATTTAAACATATAAAACATAAATAATATATATAGGCACAAAGTAACTATGCAATATACATAATTTTTATTATTTCAATTAATACACCACATAGGGGAATGTGTAGCAAACTGGAAATAATCACTTAAAAGTTTCAACAGATAAATTTATTGACAATTTATAACAAACTAGTTTTAAAATTAAGTATTTTTAATCAGTATTAAACTATAATTTTATTTTTTTCTTAGACGCAAATAAATGTATATACTTAGAAATAAAGATAATACTACTACTACTACTACCACTCCTTTATAAGACACAAAAATTATTACTGTTACATTTTTCTTTTTTTCTTTTTCAGTTATTTGGATTGGCATTTTCGTGTGCACTGTTCATGATGATTGTTTAGAATTATAGCTGACATTTAAAGATAAATAAAGAGATCATCGTCTTGGAAAACCATTTTAAAATAGTAATTTAAATAGGAAAAAAAATCATGTAAATTATTTTCAACACGTTTGCCATAAGAATCAAATCACCATCATCGACTATCAGTCAGCAGTAAATATATACACCATATATATTTGTAGTACCGTCGCATATGTGTCGGTGACAAATTTAAAATATTTCAACATTTTGATTTGTATAAAATGTAGATAATTAAGTACATAATATTATATACTATTTAGTTAATTAATTTACTTTAACAACTCAAAAAAAAAAACACAATGGGTATATGACGTAAACATGTATATGTACTACACTATACGTCTTCACCTATACGAGTATAATATGTCATAAACGTGCGCCAAACTCTTTTTTAGGGTATCTGAACAGCACCACGTCCTGTACGTTTTTTAAGCGTTAAATTAAAAATGAATACTAATTACCTAGTTTTTTTAAGTTAATAAAGAAAAAACCTTTTTACTTTACTCGATAAAAGTTAAAACCTTAAACCACACACTATAAATAATAATTAATGCAATGTAATATTATGGTTTAGTATCTTTAGTTATGAGTAACTGTGTGTTGTGTCAAAAGAAAATAATCATTGGATAATGATAATATTATAATATTATAATGTTATTATTATCTATATGTGTTTGTAACAGTAGTAAGACAAATTACCAATTATAAAATTTAATTACTTTTCTAGTTTCACGAAAGACATATAATTACGATATCAGTCATATATAAAATGATCATATATTTTTTTAGTCAAAACGGAACAAAAAAAAAAAATTATCGTTTTTTATTATAAACAAAATATTTTTTAATTTAATAATTATTAGCAAAACTTATGTAGTATTTTATTTTTAAAGGACAAACAAATTTAATTTATTTATTACATTTATTAATAAGTAACTTATTTTTATTATAAACGCCATTTTTTCATTTAAGAATAATTATAAACGCAATTAATTACTTGTATATTTTTCATTCGAACAAATTTGTTTTAATAAGTCTGGCTATGACTTTAGGAAATATATTAGATTAATCTAAGTCCGTCACAATGGTTATTTTTTATATTTTATATTGTCTTATTATCTATCCCGGCACATCGAACAATCTCGATGCCGTTTACTATCATTACCGCCAATCGACCAAACAAAAACACATACAAAAAACGAGACTGTCCCGTTCAAAAACCTTAGCCATACATTCCACTTACAATATCTGAACCACACAGTAGGAATATGCGTTTTTGCAAATCTTTTTTCTTATAAAATTTTACTTATCTACTTATTGACAATAATCACTAAATTTCACTTCTTTTATGTATTTTAAAATTTATGATTGATTCCTTTAGTCGCATGAACTTAGACATTTCAAGTTCTAACCCTATCAGTCACTGATCATAATTATTTTTTTTCTAAATTAACAATTGATATTATAAATTTTCCAGTAGCCGCGTCTTGCCCGTTAATATTAAGTACGTGAGTATCTACCAATTATAATCACAAAATAATAATAATTATTGCGAAATTGTAGGTTTATTTTTTACTTCAAGTAATATATTTCTGGTAACATTTTTATTATTTTTTTATGGTTTTTTGTAGACTATGTACTATAATATTCTATTTTAATTATATAACTTGACGTATTTACTCACAGTATTTTTGGATATAATTTTATTAATTATACATAAAACTATAATTTCGTACCTATTGATTTTAATTTTAGTTATAATTAATAAAGCTATTATGAATTATATAAATTATTATATTATACACCGGCGTTGAAAGATTTATAGCCTTAAACTTTATGCGTGTTTATAATTATAAATATCCATTTGATGGAGTTTTATTCGGTAAATATTTTTGTGTAATACAAATATCTTTAACATCCTCCAAAAATAAAACTGTATTATGTATTTCATCAGTAGGTAAAAATTTAACATAACATACAACAGATTGTAATCAATATTATAATATATCCATTATTGGTATAATATATTTACGTAGTATTAACCATATCTTAGTACGAATGTACCTATCTAAAACAATGTTGTTATTCATTCTTGTAATTTGTAAATTATTTATTAGTTATAACTTATTACGTTAATTTAAAATAAATTATATATATATTATGTATGTGTATACAACATACAAAACACGTTTATTTGTTTTAATTTGTATTCATATCGACAGCAATGTCAAACCTCAAAGCAAAACCAAGTAATTAGGTAATATTAATATTACCATAGGTATCTGATAATCGTATACTTTATAAATGTACTTTTTTTTGTTTTTAGATGTGATAGTGTTTTTTTTTTTTTTTTTTTATCGTTAAATTGAAATAACAATACAAGTTAATACTCGTATCAAGCATCAACGCCTGTACACAGCACACACTGGCGAGGGGTTATTGAGTCGTTTTTTCGAATATTATGAGCGCGAATGAAAAGTATTCGAATGTTATCTGTTAGAAAGTTAAAATAATCAAATATTATATTCGATTATTCGAACATTTTTATTGCAAAATCAACAAAATTTAATTTTTCTAAACTTTTTGTTGAAGCGATCGGTTTATCTCATAGATAAGTATACTAGATGTCAAATTCGGATTATATGTATATTATATGCTATTATATTAGTATTAGATTATACTATTTTATTATGATATATCGACGGCTACAAGTCTAATTGGCGTAAACGACAATTTTAAAAATGTTCAGGAGAGCAAAAACAAAATTCGTAAAAATAAAAAATGAATTCATTAATTTTTACTATCAAATTTTAATTGTGTAAATAAAATATAGAATATAACATAGTTTTTAATATTTACATACCCAAATACCATAAATTTAAAAGATTAAAAAAAAAAAAAAAATGGTCTGCATAACGTAACTTACCAGTGTTTTTTTTTTTTTATCATCATCGAAAATATATATTGTAAGCATCATTAAATTACGAAATAATTGTTTTAAAATAAATTTTATCAACTCCAAATTCCAATTTTTTTTTTTTTTATAGTCATTAGATAAATATTAAACACTTACTATGAAATAACTTATACAATTATTTCAATTTACTCTTATTTTTTTTCCTTTTGAGAATAAAAACAAATTAATACTTGAAAAATATCATCCTACTTCGATAAAAATTATAAAAAAATGTAACAATAGAAAAACATAATCAATCAACCTTACTTTATTCATGGGATATACAGTCAACTCGCGATATAACGAATAAAACTACCGGTCCCTTGAAAATATCGCGGTATAACGAACAAATGTAATGTATTTTGGTCCCCTCGATGTAGCGAAGCGTTTTTGATCAAAACTCTCGCGATGTAACAAATTTTTATAAATTTGGAGCTTTCTATTACGAATTTTTAATTTTAATTAAGATAAGATACATGTCTTTAGTGTATAACTCTATTAAAAATAAATACAAATAAGTATGTTGCTATTACCACATAATAGATTACGAAGTTTTTCTAATGATTATCATGCGATAGTACACTCAATTACAGTAAAGAAGGTTATGACGAAGAAAATGACGAAGAAGAATCTTCTGAAGACCCCATCGTAACCTCGAAGGAAGCCAAATTAGGTCTTCGCGCCGTCTTAAATTATTTACAGAGACATGATATTGACGACAGTGTGTTTTTTAGCATTTTAAATCTGGACAATACTATTGATAAGGTAAACTCAAGCAGTTGTAAACAATCAAAAATATCTGATTTTTTTAAAAAATAAATGCACACATGTATAGCGTTTATTATAATATGTACATATTAAAAGCAATAATATTATTATAGCATATTTTTATTAGAAATACTATTACATACATTTATATTGAAATTAAACAATAAATACATACTTATATGACTCATATATTTTATACATATATATACGAATAATAACATTTTGAATTTTTGTTTTAAATCTCGTTATAATGAATTCAATTGGTATATTTTCTTGATATAACGAATTTCGATGAAATGAACTTTCAATATAACGAATTTTTTTCTCGGTCCCTTGAAATTCGTTATATCGCGAGTTGACTGTATATGTATATAAAAAAAAAACAATATTTAACATAAATTTATCAGTTTCACTTTGCATTGGTAAGATTAAAAGATTAAATAATATATAACAAAATAATACCAAAAGTTTTCACTAAGATTTAAAAATAATTAAAATTCTAACAATTAAAATAATTATTCACTCTTAATTAGACCTGAAAAAATTAAACAGAAAAAAATAGTAAGTCTTCTTTACTATAAAAACCTAAAAGTGTATAATATTTTAAGTATTATTACATAATAATTCATAACAATGTCTTATTGAATAAAAAAAACATAATAATAATACACAATTTTTAATTATAGTTAATAATAAATTATGTGAATGTTTTAAGTTTGATGATGAGCCTCAGACACACACAATAATGAAATGAAAAATAATATAGTTATAAAATATTATATAACTTGATAAAATTTACAATACAACATCCCATATTTATTAGCCATAGAGAAAGAACAATAACAGTGCATTAGGAATATCATGCAAAAAAATAGCATTTGATGATGATATTTGAGGTTTTTAGATAAATAAGTGTTTCTTTCACCTGATAATTTCTGTTTGATATTTATAAGTCAATTTTTGCAATAATAAAAAAAAAATTAAATACATATTAAAAACAACAGCTTAGACAAGTTAGATTAAAGTATAAATACAAGATTTAAAGATTTTAAAATTGAAAAACATTTTATAAATATTTTGTTTTCTGCCAAAATATTATTGTTATGAAATGTCTTTTTTAGTATTATATAAAAAAAATATATATATATATATATAATAGCTAAAATTACATAAGTTAACTTTAATACCATTATTAGGTCTAAAAATCAATATATAAATAAAACCATAAAATATAAAAAATAATAAAAAAAAAAAAATGGTACCTTTTATTAGAATTATTTAATTATTTATAAATTATGCTCTCAAAATATCTGATTAGTAGGTATGTAATTTAATGTGTACACAATATTAATAATATTTCATACTATGTTTTTTAAATGTACAATAATCTTAATATTTCAGCATAAGATCAGTCAAATGCTTTCAATAACCCAACACTTAGTGTCAGATTAACAAATTTCTTCTAGATGAGTACCACATTCATTAAATAAAAAAATACAGATAATCAGATTTATTTAAAATTAAATACTATCTAACATCTGTAGTTAAGTATTAAAATATGCTTTGTACCTTTGCAGAACTTAAACTTGTATTGTCTGTTTGTAAAACAGAAGATATAACAAATTTATGTTCAATAGTTTTAAATTGATGTAATAACATTCTCAGTGCTCTCTTGTGGTTTTTTTTATTTTTACTATAATAAAATTATCAAGCTAGTTATGAATAAGTAAATATCACAAATTAAAAATTAAAATACCAAAGAGAAACCATAAATTACTTTACAGATAACTTACCTTTAATTTTTATAGTAAGTAAATTTATACTATTATTAAATCTTACAATACAAAATTCAAACTGTTGAACATAAATTTGTTATATCATACATAATATAAAGACAACAAATGTAGATGTAGCATCCTCTTAA